TTTAACATATTCCAAGCTTTCCAACCGCAACCGCCACGTAGTGGGCAGAATCCTCAGAATCAACAGTATCAGATCAATGCTCGCAACTTAAACGATATTGACTGGATGCAGATTGACAGGCGTGCAGAAGAAGGTAAAAGTTTAAATATTTCACCTTGCAATATGTGGTAGCAAACGGGCGCATACATGCTATTGAAATTGGCAATTTATCAAGCGTTTTGAATGTCGTGATTGAAAAAAATTAGTTTAATCTAAGAGTCTTCAGAGTTAGTCAAATGCTGCTTTATTGCTGTTTTCGCCAGTGGTTGGGCTGCTTTGCTTACTATCGCGAGTTTTCCAGATATTAAATCTATTTCCCTTCACTTAAGGCTCTGTTTTCGCCAATCAAATGATATGAGGTGCAATTATGCACTACATGTGCAAAAACTCTAACAATCTGCATATTTTTTTGCATGCTAGCACGACATTAGGCATTTGCTAGCATAGCTGGGCTTTTCTAATTTTAACTTGATCACTTAACTACAGTACGACATCGTCCATGACCCTGGCTAATGTTCAGACTGCTAGGTCAGCAGCTAAGCGATGTACGATGTAAACATGTACCTTGTTGATCGGACAGAATTAATTGTATACTAGCCGGCCGCTGGAATTCAATAAACTGGCACATAATAGCAGTTGTTTCAGACGTACGTATTATCTGTCGTCATACGTATTATAATGTTATAGAATTGAAAAATCACAAGAGTGGTTTTTTATGAACAGTGCAATACAATCTCTCAGATGATAGACCAATACTAAGATCGGAGCTCTTATCTCATGAACATTTTTAAAGGTAGAAGAAGTGTCAGTTTTCTGTTAGTTTCAGAGAGTCTGTAACACCTAATTCGCTTAGAATCAAATCCTTCATGACAAGCGATTTCAGTTCAGCCAAAATGTTGGATCAGTATTAAACAAAGAATTTATCGCTTTTCTTTCATATTATTAACCACTGTGTCAGGTGATGATGTGATATCAAAAAATAAGTCAATTTTTGTGCTGGCTTTCAGTATGACTACCATGCAGGGATAAAATACTTCCTTTTAGAACATAGACTGTGTTGCACTATTAAGAGATGACTCGACTGTAGGAAGTTGGTAAACAGACATCATAGATATATAGCGTGATATGTACATAGAAATATCGTTAGCAGCTGATGCAAAATTTTTCAGTGACGACGAGGTTCATGAACCTAAAATCGTTTCTTTAATTGAGTTATTCAGAAACTTTGTTGAAAAAATGTCAACATATAATAAAGAAAGACTGTGCAGTACCTCGGACGTCGTTCTTTTGGGATGAGGGAAACGATGGTATTCTATAAACATAAACCTGATGGTGTGTATGATGAATGTAACTCAGCCATGCGCTTGCAGAAGTCATGGTATATGATGATAAAGTGCTCAAGACAAAGTCGACGCTTTCCATAAGTGTCTGTAAACTGATTACGGTGTGTTTCAAACCAAGATTTTAGGTGATCGAAATGCCAGTAAAGTAATTATTGATCTAAGGTAAGGATTTTTCATATATTAAGTAAGTTAAGACTGATTCAAGGAGTTCAGAATCACAGTTGAATCCAGGACAAAATCCGCAACGATCTTGCACATTACAACGTAGTCAGTCACGATTGAGATATTTCAGGTAGGTATTGTTGCCATTCTCTCTGTTTTAGTGACGAGTCTTCGTTGAAACTTTTTCATCAGTTTCTCATTAAACGATATTATCAATATATTTTATGTAGATATATTGTTCCTCATAAGCAGCGTGTTTGTAAAACTGTCTCTACATTATGGCTCCTGAAAATTATTCAGGAAACTTGTAAATTGAACAACTGTGTCGATTAAACCTGCTAAAGACTGTTTATGAAGAACTAGTCATTTATCAAGGGCGA